TTGATTTCTATACATTTGCAGTATAAATCTTATGAATAAAAAGAATTTCGGAAAATTTCTGAAAATTTCCTTGGAATTTTTAAAATTATCATCAACACCCGTAGTTGACCATGTGCATATTTTTCAACACTGCTCATTACTCCTCTGCATACTACGGTCGAGTTGAAATTGGAGTTCACGTGAAGTGGCGTAATACTCTGTGAAAAACGCGATATTCGCGGTGATATGCAGTAGTCGTGAAATATGTTTTTCACTAGTGTTGCATAGCACGGCTCGTGAAACTGTACTGTGCGTAAGCCTGTAGGTCGTCGCTACACGTGACCAGCAGTTGACAGAAAAAAAAGACGCTAAGATGATGGAAAAGGAGGAAGAGGCGATTTATGATAGGCTTTGGCAGGAAGGGTGAGGGGGAGGGAATGTGTGTGGATGGGATATGCAAATGTGGGAGATGTGTGGTATTTGGGAAGATTAGTGAGAATCGATCTGAAACTGTATCGCATAATAATTGCTACGAACATGTGATGTTGATAACCGTTGGCGACAAGTTGTTTACTATCATTAATCTCGGAATAGAAAACGAACATGTGATGTGATAAGAGTAACCGTTTGGGACTGTGATAGCGACAAGTTGTTCACTATCATTAATCTCGGAATAGAAAACGAACATGTGATGTGATAAGAGTAACCGTTTGGGACTGTGATAGCGACAAGCTGTTCACTATCATTAATCTCGGAATAGAAAACGAACACAACTCACATTTGCATATCATTCGTTCTTCTGTATAGTTACCGTAATTGGGGATAGAATGTCGCGACTTCAGTTGATTGAATGTATTCACCCTCTAGTGTTGGAGTAGGAGTAATATATGTTCGCTTTTCTCAGCTACTGAGCTCAGGAGTCTCCAAAACTAATTATAGAAGTTTATATATGAAATCGTGTAGAAGTATACAGAAATTAGGGGAAACTATCTTCAGAATTTCTACTTTGTCTTCGACGACGTCATGTCTTCCCACACTGATCAACGCTGTGAAAGTGGGTGATGGATTTTGTCACGCGCCACGAAATTCCCTGTGGGTTTTGGTGGTTGATGATAGTATTCATAATGTGGAGGGGATTGGAGTTTGAATGTTGTTGTGATTTAGATATAAAAACAAAGTGTTGCGAGAGTTGGCGCAGGAACAGATGCAAATGACGAAATATGCAGTGGCGAAGGAGACGCTAGATGGACAAGTGAAATTAAAGAGGATCGAGGAGCAGGTGGGAGGGGGGTCGCGAGTGGGTAAAGGTTTCTCATGTTTTGGTATTGGTGATGGAATATATGTTTGCTTTCCTCAGCTGAGCTTATGAGTTTCCAAAGCTGATTATAGAAGTTTATGTATAAAATTCGGGTAAAAGTGTACGGAAACTGAAGAAATTTGGCAAAATTTCCTCGAAATTTTCATACTGTCACCAACCATGTGCATATTCCCTCCCACACTATACATTGGTGATGGGATAGACTATCGATGAGGACAGTTTTGAAATCGTGTCCATGTGTATGCGTGCACCTCTTTAGCTGTATTGGCCTCCTTCTCGCCGCTCATTCTGTTCCCCTTGTTACTTTGAGAAATGAAGATCGAAGTTATGCGTTAGTATTGAGCTGTGTTGTGGACTGATGAAATTAGGCTACATTGCAAGGTTGTTGTTGCATGGTGTTGACAATGGAGTTTCACCGCCCGTTTTACGTGAAGTGGCGTAAAACTCGGTGAAAAACGCGATAATCGCGGTGATATGCAGTAGTCGTGAAATATATATTTCGGTAGTGTTGTTCATATCACGGCTCGTAAAACTCCAGTGTGTTAGGATTTGATATGCAAATGTAGGAAATGTGTGTTATTTTTTGAGGTTAATGAGAATATGAACATGTGATGTGATAAGAGTAACCGTTTGGGACTGTGATAGCGACAAGTTGTTCACTATCATTAATATCGGAATAGAAAACGAACATGTGATGTGATAAGAGTAACCGTTTGGGACTGTGATAGCGACAAGTTGTTCACTATCATTAATCTCGGAATAGAAAACGTACATAACTCACATTTGCATATCATGTTATTGATAGTAGATAGATCCAGCTAACCCTTATTCATCAGCTACCAGTATCGGGGCGTAAATTTTGAGCTGGGCAAAAATTGGAAAAAAAATCAGTTAGAAATGTTCTAATATTTCGAATGTGTTCAGGAGAAGGCCCGCATTGTGGAGAAGGAGAAGGAGTATATGCGAGGTGTGTGGGAAGAAGTGGAGAAGGAGAGGAGGAGGACGGCAGAGGAAGTCGCTGCTAAAAATGTGGAGAATCGACGGTAGGCTGGGAGGAGTTGGAGCAGGAGGAATATGTGTTTGCTTTCATCAGCTGAGCTCAGGAGTATCAAAAGATAATTATTAGAAGTTTATATACTGGCTGGAGTAGAAGTGTACACGAACAACGAGAAACTTCCAGAATTTTTTTAGAATTTTCATAAATATTTGCTGTTCTCAGCGGAGCTCAGGAGTTTCCGGGGCTAATTATGTAAGTTTATATGCGAGTTGGAGTAGAAACGAAGGAGAACTTCTCATAAAATTCATATTGTCACCGATGCATGTAGTTGATCATGTGAATATTCTCCACCTTGAAAATATATATGAACTGCGAAGTGTACAGAAATCAATGAGAATTTCCCTGAATGATTGGAGTTTTCACCACCCGTTTTACGTGAAGTGGCGTAAAACTCGGTGAAAAAAGCGATCTTCGCGGTGATATGCAGTAGTCGTGAAATATATTTTTCACTAGTGTTTTTCATATCACGGCTCGTGAAACTCCAATATATTATGGCCAACATATGTGTTTGATCATGCGTATATTTTTCCACACTTCCCGGGCGTGGGATTCGAACTTGGGTCCTGTTATTTGTAGACGTATGGATGAGTTCGCCTTGCGAACTAAGGAAGCTCGTGATGCGGAGAAGGAGAGGGAAGGAATTCAGGATAAGCAATTTGTAAGTTGGGGAAAACATGGTATGTTTTATTATAGAGCACGTTGGGAATTCAGCGGAGCTTTACGCGTTTAACGTGAAGTGGCGTAATACTCAATGTAAAATATAAGACGTATATGTTTCCGCGACCGACAACACGAGTTAATTGTGAAATATGTTTTCACATAGTGTTTTTCTTCAAATCACGGGTGATACTTTAATGATGTTGTCGAGGTGTGGTAGCAGATATTAAATGTTCTCGCGGATGAGAAGAAGCTGGCGGAGAAGGAGGGGATGGAGAGAGCTCTCAGGATTAGGCAGCAACATGAAGTGAGAGGAAACGTGATTTTGTGGAAATGTATTTGATTTTATAGTCGGAAAGTGTTTGATAAAGGACTGATATTGAATCTACAGTGGAGCTTAACCCGTTTTACGTGATGTGGTGTAATACTCCATGTGAAAAACGTGATATCGCGATATTCGCGATTCCGCGTGTGTCAGTTGGATATGCAAATGGAGGGAAATGTGCGTTGTTTTTGGAGACTAATGAGAATCGATGGGAAATTATATCGTCAAAATAGTATAAGCATTGTTATGAACATGTATGCGATAAAAGTAATCGTTTGAGACTGTGATAGCGACAAGTTGTTCACTATCATCAATCTCGGAATAGAAAACGAACATGTGATGTGATAAGAGTAACCGTTTGGGACTGTGATAGCGACAAGTTGTTCACTATCATTAATCTCGGAATAGAAAACGAACATGTGATGTGATAAGAGTAACCGTTTGGGACTGTGATAGCGACAAGTTGTTCACTATCATTAATCTCGGAATAGAAAACGAACATGTGATGTGATAAGAGTAACCGTTTGGGACTGTGATAGCGACAAGTTGTTCACTATCATTAATTCCGGAATAGAAAACGAACAT